AACAGAAAAAATAAAATCAAGATTTTCTTACTAAACTGTGTATCGTACATGCTCTTTGTTTGCAGCTAGATTAATAATCTAAAGATTTTCTTTCAAACACTAAGCAATATTAAGTTATCTGCCATTCTCGTAGTAAAACATTTACTCGCACGTATTAAAAAAAATAAGCACCAAAAACACCGTTCTTTTTTATTTAAAAAATATTAAAGGCACAAGATAGAACATTAATATTATATTATATACTTTGCATTGAATGCGTCCTTTAGGGGCGAATTTTCCTGTAGAACAAATGCATAAGGTTTCGCACTAAAAACCTCTCCGACGGTGATCAAATTGCAGTACTTTGTCATTTCATACTTTATCATCGGTGTCTCGTGGATAAATGCAAATCCTTCCGAAAGAACACGATCCACGCCCTCCTTAGATGTTTTGAGAAAACCCGTTTCATTGATTTGAGAAAACATTCTGGAATAAAGGTCATCGAGGGGATAGTCCCACACAGTGAGGTCATTTCTATCGTTACTCTTCGCGTAACTCATATTCTTCCACAGCTCGAAGAAGTTCTCTTCAATGCCTTTCATACGGGAAAAGTAAGCTTCACTGACAGACCCAGCTAATGCAGAATATTTAATAGAATTCTGAGAGGCTAGCTCGTTTATGGAATGGATTTCAGTTGTTAGACGTTTGGATGTCATAAATGCAGCAAGGTTGGCTGTGTATGTCGCCATCATTATTTGACAAAAGAACCAGAATCCAATTACTAACACCCTTCCTGCAAATGTGCCGGGGGTTTTGTCTGGCCCTAAAACAAATTGTGTATCAATTCCCAATTCAAAAGGATTTAAAAACAATTAAAGTATGTTTGAAAAATATTGCATGTAAATAAATTAACACGTAGGATTCTGCTTATGCTTACCATATATGGTAATAGAAGATATAAGAAACCAAAGTGTGTCGCTGATAGTAAACACCTTGTCCTTATCTTTTTCTTTTTCTTTTGAAAACACTCGGTAGACCAGGATGTGAAACACATAGAGCATAATACCCGTTAGACCTAGGAAACCAAACCAGGCTAGCCACACAGGCCCGTCAAAGACGTCCACAAATCCAAACATTGAGCTAGAAGCAATGGTGCCGCTCATCAGGATCTGTAGACCCGCGTAATCATAGTAAGGGTTGGTAAAATCAATCACTTGTTCTCTCTCGGCTGTTACAGACACGGGGGCTGCCGCCAGATCGGCTTCCTGTTGAAGTATATTTCTTATTTGATCATTTTATTGGACAAGTTCTCTGATTTAAATTTCTTTAAAGTTCATTAGTTATCTGTAAACTTAATAAATATATATTTTTTACCTAATCCTAACATCTTAAAAGTTCTTAACTCTAACCTTATCCTTATCCTCTCACCCTAATTCCCTAACCCTAACTCAAGTCCTAACCCTAACATCCTAACCTTAGGCCCCCTGAACTAGCCCTAATCAAACCCTAAATACTTAATGCTTATCATTTATATGTACAGGAAAAAAAATCTTATTTCTTATAGAATGCAAACATTTTTGGCATATTCTGCGAGACAAAATTTAAAATATAATTATCTTTTCTTTTAAAATTCACAATTTTATAAAGATAAGAACGCTGTGGCTTATAATGTACGTATGTTTAAAATATGTTGCATTAATGGTAAATCTAAATTTTGAACGTATCTCACATTTATCATGGTTATAGATAAGATGATTAATGTAACAAATATATACATGTACCGCTTAAAGGCTTTATTTCTTTAAAATACTTAAAAATTTTAACCCTCTTTGGACCTCTCCTATGAGCCGATGACATGCTACATTACCCCTCTTGGACCTCTCCTATGAGCCGATAACATGTTACATTACCCCTCTTTGGACCTCTCCTATGAGCCCCGTCCAGGAACCATCCGGAAGAGCGAGACCGTACAGATTGTCACGTGCTTCACGGATCACGTACGTGAATCCTACCTCCTCAGCAATCTTATCGAGAACATCAATGGTATAGCCTCGAAAGAATGTCCCACTCTTGTTCACAACTTTTACTACAAATGGTGGCTCCTGAAAAAGATTTTATATGGTCAAATGTATGCACCGTGGCAACCGCTAATGATAAAAGGCAATGCAATGCACCGCTTAATGTAATAAATTATTGCATTAAAAGTTGAGATTCTCAACCTCTAAAAAATGCAATGATTTATGCCAATAAGCATTGCTTGCAACGTTTCTTCATATATATTCTATTATAAAGCGGTCGCTACAGTGTACATTGCACACAGAGCGTCAAGGAATAATATATCGGTATACATAAAATATTCATTGTTCTAAGGTTTAAATACAGAGAGAGAAGAAAGAAACATCAGCGACAGATTTGATGTTGAAAGCAGAATTGAAAAAAAACTCAGATTACATGGATAGTGATGACTGTTAATAATGATGCATGGGTGAAGGCGAAAGGTTGTGTAATCAAAACCACGTCTGTAGACCGAGTCCATGTTCCTATCTGAAAAAGTAAGATATTTGTCGACAAGAAACCAAAAAGAAAAAATATTACAAATGCATATTTCATATATTTCTGATTATTTCATTAACGTCTCAGAAATTGGTGTTTTTTTCTTTTTTTTTTCTTTTTTACATATTTCAAACATACTCTACAGGGTAAAAAACCTAAAAAAAAAAAAGTTACAGCGATTATTTAAAACAAAGCAACTGCGTTTGTACTTTTGCTTTTGTTCGTATTTTATCGATCCTCATTAAATCGTCGTCCAACTTAATTTCTTTAGTTGCATTGTAAACATGCCATGCCAGGTGCCTCAAAGCTGACGTCTAAAACGAAAGATTAAATATCAAATTCAAAATGCAAATATTTAACTGCACTTTTATGCAATTAGTGTAAGTTTCTTTTTTTCAAAAATTATGATTAAATATTTAAAAAATGTTTACCTCAGTAGGTACCGAAGGGAGGGATAAAGCTTTGATATTTTTCTCAAGTAAATGGAGACTTCTCAGCAATAATGCGTCATCCACCTAAAATTAATGTTTTTTGACATTTGAATAAAAGATAATCAAAAGTTTTGATGTGATTATGTATCCTTTATCTTATCTTACATCTACGAGTCAATCTTTGATGTTTAAAATCTCTTTAATAGATAAAAGTAGATTAAAACACATTCCATTTTGTACATAAGTCTTAAGTTTCCATTTACATATCTTAAGTCGACGGTGACATCAGTATCTTTAACGAAATCGTGTCGAAGACACACGACTGAGAAATTCAAACCCAAAATATCCGGACATTCTGTTTCGTCTGATGGAATCATCACCCAGTTATCTGTCCTTGTCACTGTTAAATTCTTCAGGTTTGAAAGCTACCAAAAAACCCCAAATAAACAATAAATGAAATTAAACATCCTTTGAATCCATCGTTATTAAGATATCTTAAGTCACGACGTAACTCACAATTTGTAACAAATTCCTTATAATGGCACCAGAAGCAAACATGATGAAAGAATCTGTGTTGCCATCCGTAACAAACTGCTTTATTTGAGATGGCACACTGCTATTTTGAATTGTAAACATCATCATCTTCAAGGTGGAATTGAATCTCTTTTGAAAAATGCTAAGATCGAAATCTGAAACAATATAATGACAAAATTATTTTAAAAAGATTTTTGCAGTACTTCGACAATTGCCTTATTTAACAATCCTTGATGGTGTGCATGTAAATATTTTCTTTCAACAAATCGTCACATTGCAACATGAAAATAACTTTTTGCTGGGCTTACCATACATGTGGTCCGTAATATAAATGACCGATGTGAATTCGCTATCATTATACTTATAGATCTGGTGGGCAATGTCCATGTATTCGGTCACTGATGGTCTTATCCGTATGCTGGGACGACAAATACTGGACCTTCCAGGGCGAGTCCGAATATAAGCTACACCTATGCTTTTTGCTAATATGCACAAAAGATCGGAGGGATTTCTTTTCATATCAATATATGACGAGGAAGAACTGTTTTTCTCAGTGAAACCTAGTAGGAAAAATGGTCAAAAGATATTTTAACTTAAAAATGCACTCCAAAAATTACAAACTAAGTGGTTAAAGGGAAAAGGGGCAATGTAATCATAGTTGTCATCTTAAAATTTTGCTTGTTTTTCATTGACATCAATCGATGGAATATTTAATCAATCGTAAAGTTATAATTTGGCTTTGTAATGAGGAATTACTTGTTACAATTTTACTCACTATAAATGCCAGGGGTTTCATTTTTCGTGTTTACGACAAAAGTGACTGGACTTATATCCATAGATGCCCACACTCCAAGGCGAGTGGAATTAAAGAATTCATTTGTGATATTATAGATACGCTCAGCTTCGTCTTCATCTACAAGGATATCTGGAAAAAGATAAAAATCATAATTGAAAACGAAACAATTTATTGTCCTGCAGTTATAAAATAGGGAGAAAACAAAGAGAAATCAAACTCAACATGCTCTAAGTCGATCAAATTGTTATTATATACATTGTGTATTGTAATGATATAAACCAAAACAATTTAAAATGTCAAGACATCATTATCCAAAAATACCGATATAATCACGTAAAAAAACTCACCTAGATGAAATGGAAAAGGCTGAGCAGACGTCAATGAAGATATTGACAAAATGGCGACAAGAAACATAGTCAAAACATCACTTTAACAAAACCTAGAGTATAAAAAAACATTTTGGAGACTCATGTTGTCTCTTATTTATCGAATTCTAAGTAATGGCGGAATGATTTGTTTTATTTTCATCTTTTACATAAAAAACTACCTATAAGTACAAATACAGAATAAGATAATTTGTTACACAGTTGTATTCTTGCGTAGTATGACGTCAAGCGAACAGAAACAAGAGGGCCAAAAATGGAAGACATTTAAAATCCCCTTCATATTTTTTTGACGTTTGAAAACATCAACTATCTCTTTATCTATTTATACTATTTACTATTTTTATGTATTGTATATCTAAATATATTATTCTTGATATGCTAAAACGAGAACGTGTTGCGAAACAGCCAAACTTGAATTTACTAAATTTTTCTGAAATCATGGCATCGTATGATCGTATCATCTAAAGTTATATTTAAAAATGTTTAGTGATAGTTTCGTTCATAATTTATTAATAATCAGAAATCCATATAATGAGTACATAACAAATAAATTGTCATGTACTCATTATATTATTTTCTAATTATAAATTTTAAATTATTTTTGTCCAGAGACATAAAAACAACCACCCCCTGGTGTTTATATCATATATGTCTCTGGTTTATATCAAAAGTTAGTAAAAGACCACACGGTATGATTTTTTTCAAGCAACATAATTGTAGATCCCATATACTTGATAAACAAATGAAATATATGAAGAAAACGAAAATTACAAAATTGCAAGCATATACCTCTTTAACAAGAGGTAGGATCAGGTGCAATGGAGTAGTGAGCATCCTATGCCGACCAATCATACCCGCGTGTGCTCCTTGTCAAGATCAAAAAACAACGGGACATACCATTTAAATAAAGCTTTACCCATTTTATAAAGTAAGCAAAATTCAAGACTTTAAATAACAGAGCAATATCTTTTTCATTAAGGATAGAAATAGAAAACAGAATGAAATATCAATACATTTCCCTTTTTACGATGGCTTTAAAAAGTTAGTTAAATAAAGAGGGATTTTAACAGTTCTTTAAATGATTATACATTTTATTAATTGTTAAAAAACTAATAACCCCCATCCTCCGATTCCCTCTCTCTTCACTCTAACTTTTCAGTGATTTTAAATATAAAATGCACAACATACACTGTGTTAAAATAAAAATTCAATTGATTTAGCTTTATATGCAACACCGTCTTGCCCGTTAAAAAGAAAGTCAAAATATAAAGTTATTGACACATTTTTGGACTTTAATGTGGATAACTGAACAGGTAATAATAATGTAGATACATTTGAATATGAACACTTTCCGTTAACTTCACATTTGATTTTTTGATTTTTTCCCTCAAAAGTGATCAAAAATGTCTTTATTTAATTACCAGCTAAATTATACAATTAACAATGTAAAATAATCGTAAAATATAGGCAATCGATATATGGCCACAGTGCAGGGGATGGGGGTGGGGTTGTCCGTGTATATTTCCGTAACATGTAAGGCTTTACAAGGCTTAGCATATCCAAGCTGCTGGCATGGGACCAGAATGGAATTCATACTCTGTAAAACTCACTTCATAAAATAAAATTTAGAAAACAAAATCATTAGAATGAAGGGAATTTTTTTTACAATTCAGTCATAAAAAAATATGATGAATTTTCTAAGATGCTCACATCCCTACTAAAATCTGACATTTCAAAACTCAGCCAGTTCAGAGACAATTGTCAGGAAATATATTATACAAAACAGTCATATTTAACTGACTGTATATTTAGGCATGAACAATTACCGGTATATGTTATTAATTTTTAACCCACACCCACCCCAACAAAATCTATACATAAACTGCATGATGCATTTTCAGTGGACCTTCAGATATCCGGACCCCAGATATTCGCGCTTCAGTATCCGGACGACTTTTCATTGGAACGAAATTTGTAAATGTAATTTTGTCTTGTTTAATTGGTAATTCAGGTATCCGGACGCTTCACATATCCGAACAAAATGACTGGGAACCAAAGCTATATTAAGTAAATTTCAGGCTCCACTGTATACTGATTTGTCTACTGGATGTATTTTTTAATAAATTTATGAGGAAAAAAAATCACGTGACACAAGATAGCGTTTTTTCACTGATTTAGAAGTGCCAAGAAATTCACAAAATTGTTTTGAGAAATTTACCCACCCTCCGTCCCCCTTCATACTCCATGATAAAAACATTGTAGTCTCAAAATTATGTTTTGTAATTTATTTATCATAATATATACCTTGTACCATCTTAAAGTGCCATCGTGCAACTTTTGTCTTGTCATCTTTATTTTCAATTTTTTCCTTTTTAAATACTTTGTTTGTTTAAAAATATTGGCAGCTTTTTGTTTTGACAACTTTGTGGTTTATATACTTTTTATTTGTCAAAATATTTTTGCCAAAGTAATGTTTGTTTGCAACAGGGGAGCTTCTTTGACGTATAACAAATTTAATACTTTTTGAGATATAAAGAAAAAACTTTCGGCCCCTCTAGGCCCCTCATTTTAGGGGCCAGCCCCTTTTACAAGATATCATTTCAAAGATCTTGTTACACTTCTTTTGTTCTATTGTTTTAACAAAATATTTCCAGGTAAAAAGATATCGTAGAAAAGGTGTTAAAAATTTTGAAATTCGCGATTTCAATTATTGGGCCATAGTCTAGCGCCAGATCACTGCGGCACTTACAAAAAAATGAAATACTTTATACATATCTATAGACTTTGTTCTATCATACCTGAAAGTTTCATGTTTATATCTTAAGCCATTATTGAGAAAGTCTGGAGACAACCTGACCCTTCCAAAATCATAAAATCGAGAATATCTCCAAACCGGAAGTGACGTCATCAAATCGGAAAAAAATGCATAAGGTTCAAATTATGTAACATAAGTCCTGAAAGTTTCATGAAAATCCATCGAGCCGTTTTTGAGAAAACACGTGCACAAAATCGGTAAGAAAAAAAAGAATAATAATAATAACTAGAGCGATTCGTTGCAAAATGGCAATCCGTCCGGTTTTTACCGGAAATACAAAGTGACGGAACATAAAAGCATTGAAGCTAATATTCCATTGACTTTATAATTTCAATTTTGCATAAAAAACTTCAAATTACATTTTTTGAAGGGTTAATGGTACCGGGTGAAAAATGACGGAGGAAAAATTACTTTTCATGCTCTGTGAGACACATATAACCCAAAAACTTGTTAAGAACGTAAAAAAAAACATGATTTTCCACTATTCCCGGATTTGTTCCGGAAGTGACGATTGTTGAAGTTTTTGCCTTCATAGATAAAGCTTGACATTTTGAACAACTTTGCTTCTTTGACATTACAACACACACTTTTTGATATAAATTCTTTTTTGGAAAAACCCCCCTCAATGTCCCTAATCCTTAGGGGCCAGCCCTTTTTTTGAGATATCATTGTGAAAGATGTGTGAGGGTTATACACTTCTTTTGTTGTATGTGTTATACAAAATATTTCTAGGTAAAAAGTTAGAGTAGAAAAGGTGATAAAAATTTTGAAAAATGTGATAGGACTTTTTTGGGCCATAGTTAGCGGCACTTCCGATAAAAATGAAATTTGTTGTACATATCTATATTTTTCAAACAGCAAAGTTTCAAATTTTTTGACCATTATTGAGAAAGTCTGCGGACAAACTGACCTTTCAAAAATCATAAAATCGGCAATATCTCCAACCGGAAGTTATACGTCATCAAATCGGAAAAAAATGCATAAGGTTCAAGTAATGTAACATATCCTGAAAGTTTATCGAAATCCATCGAGCCGTTTTTGAGAAATCGCTTGCACAAAATTTTGGTAAGAAAATGAAGAATAATAAAAGTGGAAAAGAAACCTAAGAATAACAATAAATTTTCACTTCAAGACGGAAGACGTTAACTGATGCTCTCGTTAGCATTTTTTAAAATAGGTTTCATTTTTGTATATTGATGGAATAAGACCAGTGTTGGAATAATTCCATTGAAAGGATTAAAAATAAAACTTAAAATGTGAAAAAGGCAAGAGAATTCTTCAAGATATAATTAGAAAGCAAAAAAATGTAGGATCTATCAATTCCATGGATTAACTTCCGGTTCTTTTTAAATATTTTGTTTGGATGTGCTCAAAATTGACCTTCAACCTTACATCAAGAATGGATAATCATCCCGCTGTTTCGATGGAAAATACTTATTTCTAGACAACTTCCGGTTTCAAGAAAATACTTCCGGTGGAAATATGTAAGACACGACGCACTCTTTAAATTTTTATTATGAACAATTACATTCATTATGAAATAAAAAAATTAAAAAATATATATATAAACTACTTCCGGTTTACAACGGAAGTTATTAAAAAATGAAACACGCTACGCACATCTAAAGGTCAAGATATACCATCCCTGAAAGTTTAACAAATTTATATTGAAGCATCTCTAAGAAAACTTCCGGAAAAATTTCATTTGAAAAACTGAAAATCGGCTGTAACTCTCTGAAAAGTTTGACGTTTTCAAAATGAAAAAAAATGACACAAGTTCAATTGATTTTACATCATTGCTGAATGTTTCAGGAAAATCCATCAAGGCGTTTTCGAGAAATCGTCTGCACAAAATCGGTAAGAAGAATAATAATAACTAGAAAAGAAACTCGTTGCGAGCAACGAGAGGTCTTCCGTCCGATTCTGAAAAAAACCCGCAAAATCGAGCTGAAAAAATGATAAAATTTTTTATGGAAACAAAGGAGATTGAATCCGGGTCGCCAGTATTGAAATACAAAGCGCTTACTGTTACGCTATTGGGACCACATCTCTAAACATACTTGTACATTACTTCTGAAACAATTCCTCTGTCTTAGAATAATGAAAGACGGTCACTATTCATAATTTTGCGTTAAACGCCACAAGTAAATCTTCTCGCCAAACTTGCTCACGATGATCACATCGGAATTTGTTACTTGAGTTTTAACAGTAAT